CTTTCTAATGTGGAGTGTCACGCAGTGAATTCTGGGGAAATTTTTTTTTACTGTAAATTATACATTGATTTGTTCTTTTTTTTACTTCTAAAAATTTTACAATTAACAGCATTTTACTGTAAAATTACATAATGTCTGGCTAGATCTTTTACAGTTTTTCCCTGTGTATGGGAACTTACTGTTAACCTATTATTCCCCGTAGTGTTTTTACAATATTTTACAGTTAAAATTACACTTTTTTTTTTTTACAATGTACTTATCTCTGCCACTATACTATTATATTACTACTGTTATATTACCTTGGCATTAAATAAAAAAACAAACTAGTTAACATTGCTGTGAGGGTGTTTCTAATACAACAGCTGATTGCAGTAATCAGCCTCTCTATACTTGGTCCATCTTTCAGACTTTTCTTTTGCTATTACAGTAATTTGAAATGTAAAATATTTGCTGTAGTTTCCCCGTTTCAAAATCCACATATGAGAACCTTAAATTATTCAGTGATTTGGACAAATTGGTTGAGTGAATGATTCAGTGACAGTGTTTTTACAGCAAACTGAGAGCAGTGTTTTCTGTGAACGCCGCTGTTCTGAGACCCTCAAAAACACTGTCATCGTGAGCTGTTCACTTATAAATGAACTCTACCACGCTTCACTCTGAAAACACATTGCAAATGTATTTATTTAATTGATCACAGCCTTTGAATTTGTTAATCGCACTAAGCTGTCATTATATATATTTTTTTCAAATAATTGCTCTAGTTTTAATCCATTCTAAAATGTTCAGCTTTAGTGTGTGAATGCATGACATAAAATGTATATGTCATTTGTTCACAGTGGGTCTGTGTGCAGAACCACACACAACATCATTTTTCAAGTTCAGTTCCACCGACGTTAATCTACTCTCCTGTCTGGTTTGTTTGCCAGACAAAATGGCAGATTCTGCGTTAAGATTGGTCAGATCGCCTGTCAATCAAACTCCTGGCGAAGGGTGAATGAAATAAACCAATAGTTTTCACGTGACGTCACACCCTTACAGGAACGCCATATGGAGGGCAAAACGAGGCTTTCCTCCGCTGACCGCCAGTCATTTTTAGGAGGTTTGCATTAAATAGTAATGTAGTAACAGTGATATTTAAAGCCCGAATTCAGTACACACCTTACGGATGATGCAGACTTTGTATAGGCAAGCAGATGAACCTAGAATAGAAACGCAATGCGCTAAGTTTAATATTAAATGTTTTCCCATAGAAAACCATTATAAAGAAAACACAACCATTTAGCGTATTGCGTTCATATTCTGGGCTCATCTGCTTGCCTGTATAAAGCATGCATCATCAATAAGGTGTGTACTGAATTTGATCTTTTGTATAAGATAATATCACTGTTTTAAGGCACTTTAAGTGTTTTCACATTAAAGGTTTTAGAATGTCCCGCTGTTTTTAGCGATTGAAATATTGCGACGGGTGCTTTATATGGATTGCTAATGGCCAAAACTTGCATTTTGTTCACATATCTTTTGTTTTATTCTTTTGAGAGGTGATCTAAATGTTTGTGGATTGGAAACAAATGGAAAATTGACAGGCTTGTGCTGCAGTTCTATGTTGTGGATGTTTTGCCCGCCAGGTTTTCGAGCCAGTCACGTGACTGAAAACTATGAATAGTGACTTCTGTGCAAGCTCTACTTCATAATATATTGCTAGACTATTCACAATGGCCTTTTTCCCTGTGAGGTTTTACCAAAATCTCACTAATGTGACCGCACCTTAAGTTAAGTTCAGGTTCGTGTCATTGGAAGACTTTTTGCACTCATATTCCAAACCGGAATTTCATGGAACACAAAAGAAGATTTTGAAAAATGTCCAACATGTTTTTTTTCCATACAATGAAGTAAATGGAGTTAGACATTGACAAGTTCCAGGAATGCTAAAAAAAAAAAAAAAAAAAAAAAAAAAAAAAAAGAATAAATAAAAGTATGTGTCAAGTCTTCTGAAAGAATAGGAGGAACAGGCCATGATCAATTATAGTGTACTCAGTCAAACGGATCACGTTTTTGATGCCTTTTTGTCATTTTTGGAGCTCTACAGTATCTGTCCCTGTTTATTGTATTAAGATGAACACATGAGACAATCTGCTAAACTCATACGGGTTTGGAAAGACCCAGTTTACAGCTATATTAACATGCATTTCAGATGAGTCTTCTGTCATCATTTATGTTTGACATTTGTCCGATTTTACATCACTTTTGCAGGAGCGGTTAGTTTACTATTGAATAAACAAATCCATGTCACACGGCGTATATGTGAGAAATAAATGAAGACACTGAAAAGCATAAGGAGGGCAGTGTACAATGTTTGTCCAAGTGTTAAACAGGCTAAAATGGTTCCTGCCTTCATGTGAAAATATTTAAATGTAAGGAGAACATACTATGTTGTGCTCCTCATCGTTTTTCCCCTTGTGCAATGCACAGTTTCTTTGAAGCTGCGTGGCGAGGATAATTTGTGGTTAGTCATTAAAGAAAGATGCTATCTAAGTAGAAGAGCACTGAGAAGTTGTAAGACCCCATGTGGACATTTGATAAAGGCAGAGTATTGTTTTTGTGTGCATAAATGTTTACAGATGAGCATGAGAAGCACACATCTCCACTTGTGTTGCTTGCAGCTTGACAGGCTCATTGTCTTTCACACTGAAGTATGTGTGAGGTGCGTCACAATGTTCAAAATGTTGTTCAAGCGTTTCTTGAGAGGACAAACTTATAAACTTTGAACAGGTTACAAAGAAACAGCCATTAGGGAAAGAATGCTTTGCATATTTTTTTTCTCTTATATTTTCAACAAAAAAAGTAGGAAGTAAATCGGAGTCTTGTTAGGCTCGAGTCCTCAAACATTAGCTTGAGAGAAAATTCCTTGCTCAATCCAAACTGCAGTGAAATTGTAACCATATGTGATATTAAGGCTGGCCGTAGCAGAAATCTAGAGCATTGATGGTTACGCTGGCAAAATGCCGGAGCGAAATGAAACGTGAATAGTGCAAAATTCCATCTGAGAGCAGTTATTTTAGCACAGCTTCACACTACATCTATTCACAGGTTTCACCATAGGTGTGTTCAGAGCAGCAGTGTGTGATTTCTAACCGTTTGAAAAACACTGGAGAACTTTGACTGATTAGGGATCTACTAAAATGCCAAACCCAAAGGCTGATGAGTGAAATATGATTTGCTGCAGGGCTGTGGCCAGACATGTTTGTTTCTGATCGTGTTACATGTGTGCGAGGGTAGGACGTTTTCAGAAATACTGTTTGTACTACAGTAATTTGTGACCCTGGACCACAAAACCAGTCATAAGGGGACATTTTTTTGAAATTGAGATTTATACATCATCAAAATATTGAGAAAATCATCTTTAAAGTTGTCCAAATGAAGTCCTTAGCAATGCATATTACTAATGATAATACATTTTTTATATAGTTACAGTAGGAAATTTACAAAATATCTTCATGGAACATGATCTTTACTTAATATCCTAACGACTTTTGGCATAAAAGAAAAATCAATAATTTTGACCCATACAATGTATTTTTGGCTATTGCTACAAATATACCCCAGCGACTTAAGACTGCTTTTGTGCTCCAGGGTCACATTTAGTAAGATATGTAAAATCATTTTTGTTTGCTGTTTTCTGTATTGGTTGCAGATCAGTTTGGTTTGCAGTGGAGAAGCAAAACAATGCAGTCTATCCACCTTATTTGTAACATAATTGCAGCCATTTTTATCTTCAATGTGTCTTCTAAAATACTACATTCTGATCAAATTCAAAAGTAGCTTTTATGTATCGTTTGCACATTTTATTGGTAAAAGAAAAAGAGAAAAAGATTCAAGAGTTTGTGTTGAGTAGGATTTTTTTTTTTTAATTATTCAACAAGGATGCATTAAATTGCTAAAAAGTGACAGTAAGGATTTTTACATTGTACATACCTAGACTTTACATACATAATTCAATCGTTCTACTGAACTTTCTATTCATCAAAAAATACTGAAAAAAGTGTTACAGTTTCCACAATTAACAACACTTTATTTTCAACATTGATAATAATCAGAAATGTTTCTTGAGCAGCAAATCAGCATATTATACTGATTACTGAAGATCATGTGACTGAAGACTGGAGTAATGATGCTGAAAATACAGCAGCGCATCACAGCAATAAATTACAGTTTATAAGATTTTGTACTTGTAATTATATGTCACAATATTACTGTATTTCTGATCAAATAAACGCAGCCTTGGTGAACAAGAGACTTCTTTCAAATACATAAAAAAATCCTACCGACTCCAACTTTTGAACAGTAGTTGAAACTTACTATTCATTCCATATAAAATGATATAGAGAAAAACAGTTTGCTGTGTATTTTGATGTTTAGAGTATCTTGCTAACGTCATACTCTTAGTTTTAACCACCAGAGCTTGTGCTCGTTCCAAGTCCATCACTTACAAGGTTTGATTTCAGTTGGGATGCTGCCTTAGAAGGGAGACAGGAGACTCGGTTTGGATCAGAGCCTGACTCCGTATCGTATTTTAGCTCTGGAAACCTTTGGTGCTGTGGGTCGTCAGTTCACTGTGAGACTAAAACAAATGTGTCTGTTGTGGAGACGAGAAAAATAAAATCAAGGCATCAAGTTCAGAAGCCTTCAGAATCCAATTCCAGCCAGTTCCTGAGTCATCATCATATAAAGTCATTTGTGTTTGGCCAGAAGAGAGCACTTTTATCCAGTTGGTAACTGCAGAAACAGCAGAGATGGATATCCTGAACAGCAAATCCTACTGATTTTGGTCACTTCACATTCAGATTATGATGAGAGAAACAGCAATGCCCAAAGGTACGGTAGCGTAATAAACAACCATCGAAACTCCTTCAGATATGCTCCAATCATAACACTCAAACCACAGTCCACTGTGAGTACTGTAATGCTTTGGCTCTATGTGAGCACCTAGACTTCATGACTCCATGAACAAGAGGTCATGAGATACATAGAGAGTCCCATAATGCTCATTACTGTGGTCTCTTTGCTGAGAAAGGATACAGACTGGTCAGTGTAGATGGCAATGTCCTACACAACTCACATCCTTTAAAAACGATTCATAAGTTCAACTTATGACATACACCAAATATAAATAATATAAAACTAGTGTTAAAAGGTCATAAACGCATGGTATTATGATATGTAATGTGGTGTTTGAAGTTGTCCTTTGTGGGCCTGACTGTACAATGTACCGCTTCAGTGAAGTTGTCTTACTAAATATCAGCTCTGTGTGTCTTTCAGCCGAGTTATCACCTTGGTCATCACTGTCTGTCATTTTCTTTTCTCAGAAAGCATGAGAAGGGCTTCTGCCAGCCGTACCGTGGCATCGCGTGCGCTCGCTTCATAGGGAACAGGAGTATCTACGTGGAGTCTCTGCAGATGCAGGGGGAAAGTGAAAACCGCATCACTGGTGAGCATTGCTGTCCTGAAACCAGTGCTGGGAACATAAGCACAGTTTATTAGCACATACAGTGGAGATCAAAATTAGAGAACAACCTACAAATTTCAAGGTCGCTGCTTAGTCCTATTTGAAGTTATCGTAGCAGGAGTTGAAAGGCAGTGTTTAAGCATATTTCATAAGTTACTTGTATTCTGAAGCACAGTATAAAAACTTAAATGAGATATTTGAAAAATAAGTCTGATCAAAATTAGAGAACACTTATAGATACATCCAAGTTATTGGTGTAAATCTGGCACCTCATTTCCTTAATTTTATGACAAACTCTATTTAACTGGCAGCATTCCTCCAATTTTCACTGAGATTGCAAGATGCGACAGGAGGTTGTCCAAATGAAGGCTAAAGGGACGACCCTTTCAGCCATTGCACGAGAAGTTTGTTGTTCCAAATCTGTGATTTCTCAAATATTGCAACTTTACAATGACACAAATTCATTCAAGTTCCCCAAAAAGGCTGGTTGTCCATGCAAGACAAATGCACGAGAGGACAGGATAATGCAGAGACTCCCAGTGGGGAATCGGTTCAGCACTGCAGCTGGAATTGCTCGCCGGTTCAGTGCTGAACAGGGTGTGGATCTGTCTCGGCATGTTTAAGAGAAGTCGGACTGAAAGTGCACACTGCAGCGACCAAGCCTCTTGTCAGCAGAAAGAATCAAAAGCTAGGCTAGGTTTTGCTGAGGAGCATGTTGTGTGGAGAGAGAAGAACTGGTCCAAGGCTCACTTTAGTAATGAGAGCAAGTTTAATTTATTTGGGTCAGATCGGCCCCCGTCACACTGCAAAACGGGTAAAGCAGTTCCTTGAAGCTAAGAACACTGAAATGAAATAATGAAATGGCCGGCCCAGAGTCCTGATCTAAACCTGGCTGAAAATCTCTGGAAAATCCTTGGCGACAAAGTTATGTCTAAGAAACCCACTGCAGTCACCGAAATATAGAAGAGGGTGGAAGAAGAGCGGAGCAAGATCACAGCAGCGCAGTGTGTCCTGCGGCCGCAGATGTGCTGAAGTCACTCAAAGCAGGGCCTCTACACTTCCTCCTCATTTCTGAGAGCTGTAACCCTCCAAAATTTAAGTCGTAATCTTCTTTTGTGCTACAGTGGTTACTGTTCTCTAATATTGATCACTGTGTTTTCCACAAAATAAAGGTTTTTGTTGAAGTCCCTTGGTTATTTTGTCAAACATGTTAGTGTAACAGTGGTATACACAGCTAATATGCCTTCAAATTTTGAGCGATAAAGATGAACAATATTTCAGGAATCAAGTATTTATATAATGTTCTCTAATTTTGATCTCCACTGTATATACTACAGGTCAAAAGTTTGGAATAAGTGTGATACACAATCACATACATACACGCATATATATATAAATAAATGCAGCTTTGGTGACCAAAGACCTCTTTAAAAATATTATATATATAATATGTTTTAAAGAGGTCTTTGGTCACCAAAGCTGCGTTTATTTATTCAAAAATAAAGTAAAACAGTAATACTGAGATGAAAGCTGTATTTTCAGCATCATTACTCCAGTCTTCAGTGTCACATGATCCTTCAGAAATCACTCTGATATGCTGATTTGCTGCTCAGTTATTATCAATTGATTATTGGTGTTAAATTATTAATAGCGGTTTTTATTTTTAATGTTGAAAACAATTGCTGCTTAATGTTTTTGAGATGCATTTTTTCAAGATTCTTTTTCAAGCAGCACAACTGTTTTCAACATTAATAATAATCAGAAATATTTCTTAAACATATTAGGCATATCAGTAGCATATCAGAATGATTTCTGAAGGATCATGTGACACTGAAGACTAGAGTAATACTAGTACTAATAATAGAGTAGTCCTTTAGAGTGTAGTGTATCATGATCATAGATGTGTAGTGTATCATGATCATAGATGCACCATGCATTCTGCTGTTATCATTATATATCATTCTTGTGTTGTTCTCCAGCGGCCTTCACGATGATCGGCACCTCGACCCAGCTATCAGACCAGTGCTCTGAATTTGCCATCCCATCCTTCTGCTATTACGTCTTCCCATTATGCGAGGAGGGCACCAGAGGTCCATGGCAGCGCCAACTCTGCCGCGATGAGTGCGAGGCTCTGGAGAACGACTTGTGCAATGCCGAGTACACCATCGCACGCTCCAACCCTCTCATCCTCATGCAGCTCGAGCTGCCCGCGTGCAACCTGCTTCCCCACCCCGGCTCGCCAGAAGCTGCCAGCTGCATTCGCATCGGCCTGCCACCGCAGTGTAGGTTGACTTGGCTGAACTCGAAACCATAAAATGGGGTTTAGAGGCAAGGAGGGCTCAAGGGAGGATCTAATAAGCATGAAATCCAATGTAATTGGCTCCCAAGCACCCTCAATGAGCAATACCAATTGAAGCGAGAGGGCCCTCTTGTGGTGCATTTAAAATTTCTTGACGTTGCATAAATAACTCATGTCTATAACTCAGATATAAGAATATTTCAGTTACATTGATTTTTACTTAATGTTTTGAGAAAAAACACCTACTAATTTTCAATCCTTGTTAAAGATTCACCCCCAAATCACAGCTGTTACAACGGAAGTGGCGCCAACTACAAAGGCACGGTCAGTGTCACGAAATCAGGCTACCAGTGTCAGCCGTGGAGCGCACAGTATCCACACAGTCATCATCTGACGCCTGTTGAGTACCCTGAGCTCAGAGGAGGCCACAATTTCTGCAGGAACCCCGGAGGGCAAATGGAGAGTCCTTGGTGTTTCACTTTAGACCCTAATGTTAGAGTGGACGTCTGTGAAATTCAGCCCTGCAGTGAGTAGATTATCTTTATGGCCCTCAATAACTGATTTCAACTAATTTATACAAATATGTTCTCTGTTGTTCTAAATTTTAAATTTTTTAATTTTTCCAGATCCTCCAGAGAAAGTGAAAAAGGAGATACTGTACATCTTAATCCCCAGTATAGCCACCCCTCTTGTTATTGCCTGCTTATTCTTCTTGATCTGCATGTGTCGCAACAAACAGAAGGAGTCTGCTGACACCCCCACTCGCCGTCAACTCACTGCCTCACCGAGTCAAGAAATGGAGCTGCCTCTACTTAACCAGCCCAAGCATCAGGTAATCTTCCATCGTTTCAGCTTCTGAAATTTAACTGAAGTTGCATTCAAAATCTGCGTGCAATTTTTACATTCACAGGCCATTTTGGACCCGATTGAACATAAGACTTTAAATTAGTCTTAATGTTTTCAACTAACATTTGGCATCTAATCGATAGCTTATTAATAAGTGAATGCACAGAAATGTCAAAGTTTTGAATGTTAGTGTTATTACTATGTTATTACTACATGTATTACTATGTTATTACTACAATGCCCTTTTTTATTAATATGATGCAAGAAAAAAATCCATGAATAATTTTATGAAATTTATGAGAATATATAATGAAATAATATAGAATTAATAAAACAAAACAAAAAACTAACACTTGCTTCTCTAATCTTTTTGTATTCTATTTAAAAAAAAACCTTGCTACATGTACTGCGTTAAGCTACCTGAGACTTGTTATAGCACTTGCATATCATTGCTCTTTTGTTGATTTTGATTGCTTCCATTGTCCTCATTTGTAAGTCGCTTTGGATAAAAGCGTCTGCTAAATGTAAATGAATTATTTAACAAAACATCAATATTACTCTTAAGTCTCAATTTATAACTCATAAATGTTATATCTCTTAAAAACATTTAAAAAAAAATCATTTTAAAAGTCTAAAAACCAAATAATAATAAAACAATTAAATGTTTTTCAATAGTCATGGCTCATTTGCAAAGTTCGGTCCCCATACTATAAGACCTATGCATTTTTTCAGAGATTATGCATTTATTTCCAAGTTAAAATGGACCTGAATGTATTATGATGATTAGTGTGCCAGTGCTAATTAAGATTTGTCATTACATCCAATGTGTAACTGCACATTTCGCCTCTTCCATTGAGCACAAGCAGACTTGACGATGGCTTATTGTCTTTAACTTTTAGGCGAAGCTACGAGAACTCAACCTGTCTGCAGTTCGATTCATGGAAGAGCTTGGAGAGGACCGTTTCGGAAAAGTCTACAAAGGTCACCTCTACGGTACGGCTCCAGGTGAACAGACCCAGGTGGTGGCTATAAAGACGGTCAAAGACAAGGACGAGGGTCCTCTACGGGAAGAATTCCGCCACGAGGCCATGATCCGGTCCCGCCTACAGCACCCCAACATCGTCTGCCTTTTGGGTGTGATAACTAAAGAACAGCCCATGAGCATGATCTTCAGCTATTCGGGCCACGGTGACCTCCACGAGTTCCTGGTCATGCGATCCCCTCATTCGGACGTCGGCAGCTCTGATGACGACAAAACGGTCAAATCCACTCTGGAACAGGCAGACTTCCTACACATCGTCACACAGATAGCAGCCGGAATGGAGTATCTTTCCAGCCACCACGTGGTACACAAGGATCTGGCTGCTCGTAACATTCTAGTTTGCGATAAGCTCAACGTTAAGATCCTGGACCTTGGGTTGTTCAGGGAGGTCTACTCCGCTGACTACTACAAGCTAATGGGCACCAGTCCCTTGCCTATCCGTTGGATGTCCCCTGAAGCCATACTGTATGGCAAGTTCTCCACCGATTCAGACATCTGGTCCTACGGCGTGGTGCTTTGGGAGATATTCAGCTATGGCCTTCAGCCTTACTGCGGTTATTCTAACCAGGATGTGATTGAGATGGTGCGCAACAGACAAGTTCTTTCCTGCCCAGATGACTGTCCAGCCTGGATTTACACACTGATGCTAGAGTGCTGGAATGAGTTCCCCGCAAGAAGGCCAAGATTCAAAGACATTCATGCCCGGTTGCGCACCTGGGAGAGCTTGTCCAACTACAACAGCTCGGCACAGACCTCAGGAGCGAGCAACACCACTCAAACCAGCTCCCTCAGCACGAGCCCCGTCAGTAACATCAGCAATGCCCGCTACGTTAGTCCCAAAAAGTCTTCCCCCTTCCCTCAGCCTCAGTTTGTGTCCATGAAGGGACAGATGCGCCCAATGGTGCCGCCCCAGCTCTACATCCCAGTCAACGGCTACCAGCCAATGCCGGCTTATCCGTACATGCAGAACTTCTACCCCATGCAGATCCCCATGCAGATGCCTCCACAGCAGCTGCGCCCACAGTTGGTCGCCAAGGCTGGATCGCACCACAGCGGCAGCGGCTCCACCAGCACCGGCTATGTGACCACGGCACCCTCCAACGGATCTGGCACGGAGAAGGCGGCCCTTATGAATGAAGACCTGAAGACGACAGACGAGGATTTCGCTGACGGGGCTTCTCAAAGTGGCCTGCACAACGAGGACCTATCTGTTCCAGAGACAGAGCTCCTGGGGGACAATGACAGCCCGCGGACAGAAGACAATGGAAACAACTCGGAAGCATAGACAATCTATGATTTTTCGCTTTTTTTCTCAGTTGTACAGGTTTAAAAAGTGAAGGGAAACCAGTGAATGACACATGGACGTGGTGTTATTTATGGGTTTTTGTTTTATCCGCAGCCACTGATGGATGAACGCATCATGCTGCTGGAGATATTTTTATAAGAGATGTCAGCTTCACCCATGAGCTGCGGTTTTTGTAGTCTGTGATGAAGAATCAAGCTTTCAGCCCTTCTGCTTTGGGGTCGGTGGCAGATATGATACAACAGTGGACATCTTGTTGGTTTGGTTGTTTTTTAAATCAAGTTGCAAAGCTATACAGAAGAATGCATGTTCTTACCGTTGCTGTGCAACATGAAACATCATTTCAAGCATTTTGGTGGGTACCATTCATTAATGTAACCACTTCACAGTTGGCGGTGTCATTGGGAACAAGTCGTTTTACTTAATTAACAGGATTAAATGTATTTCTTGCTTGAGGGCTTTGATGTGCATGATGAAGCCTCATCATGGATCACGATTATTGGACTATAAAGACGTGGATGTGCAAAGACATGCTGACCCCTAGACATTTGTCCTCTTTTAGAAGTTGCTTTTATAAAACATTGAATTCCTATTGTAAAGATTTGTAATTTATGCCATTGATTCTCTTGAAGATGTGTAACTGGTTTGTAATGTTCTTTGTCTCATTTTGTTTAGCCTGTAGTGTTGCTTTAAAGTCATACCAACCAGAAACTTGCTTTCTACCCAGATGTTATTAACAAACATTAGCCATGTGTTTTGTTCATCCGGGCACGTGGAGAATCCAATAAAGTAATACAAAATATGATTTTACTAGTGGAGTGTCCTCAACATCTAGAAAGTCAAAGCTATACATTGGAAAAGCATTTTGCTATGATATTGTAATTGGCACAATCATGTATTTTATATGTGCTTTGTGAAAGGTTAAGTAACCGAGTGAGTGGTGTGTGCTGGTTCATGTTAGCCAATGACTGTAAAGTAGGTGTTCTTATTTCCCAAGAAAGGCGGGACCAAAGTAATAACTGATATATTCTCCACTTTTTTGGCAGACAAGCTGCAAATGATTTACACTCGCATACAGAAGCTGATACTTGCGCAGTAGCACACACGTTTGCCTGCTGAGATGTCAACAGGTGCTTGTTGCTCCACGCAGGATGAACTGGCTCGCATCAGTAGTTTACGGAATGCATGCCAGTTTCACGCGGCGCCCAGCCTCCGTGCAAACAGTGGGACGCGACGGAAAAGACAGTTTACGCCTGATGAGCAGAAAGACGGTAATTACTGGCTCAAGCGGACTCGTAATAACGAAGCTGCGAAGAGGTCTCGCCAGCGCAAGAGGATGGAGGAGCATCTTTTGGAGACGCGCGCCGTCGAGCTTCAACGAGAGAATGACAAATTAAAGGCTGTGCTCTCTACAGTCCATCATCACAGCACTGCTCAAAGTAACCCGATGCATGCTGCTTTTGGGTTCCCCTTCGGACTGCCAAACGACGGTCATCCGCGCAGTTTACCCGTTCCTACGAATGTGTTACCATTGCGCGGTCTGCCTCATTGCCCATTTTCCGGATCAATATGTGCTCAAACAAATCATTTTAGCTCGGTTTTCGATTTGGTATCATACCCTGTGCTGAAAAACGCTGCCGCTACTAATACTACGAGCCCCCCGCGCATCAATTTATTGGATAGCTATCATGCAATGGGCGGGTACCGTCATGGGAACACATGCGCCGGCGGAGCTTATCAGAGGAATAGAAGTTTTGCGAATGGAAATGACTCTGCTCAAACAATGCACGCGCTGCCGGACTGTAGAAACACTTTGGTCAAGCTGTCGCGTGTTCCCCGCTGTTATAATTACAAAGCGTCGTCCTCTGAAATGGCACAGGATTGCGCGCGGCAGCCTGGCCCGATCGGAGCCGCGTATGAAGGCGAAATGCAAGCTAACGCGGCAGAACCAACATGCCAACAACAAGCGACCACGCAGTCGGTTCTGCTTCCACACAAACTGCGCTACAAAGGTGGAAACGCAAGGTTTGCATCCGCGAGCTTCTTATCGTAATGGAAACCACGCGAGACAGACCATGCAGTTAGAGGTGTTACTGGCTGTCATAAAAAGATGGTCCTTTTTATTGCATATGTTTAATTGCTAAATCACTTACCTTGCACTGTGAATCTTTAGTTGTAATACCTCTTAAATAAAAGCTATTGTTTCTGCACAAGTGAGTGTTTTGTATATGTTTGAACTTTTTGCTTGAACATCATGCATCTTGCTTTCAAAATGCATATCAAATGTTATGAGCGAAAAGTCGGTGTATTTGCTTCTTGGTATAAGCTTATGTTAAGTGTAGGCTGTAATTGAATAAAAATACAAAAAATCTGACGGTGCACTTAAACAAATGCCCGTGCAATTGAAACATGTGTCTTTTCCACAGAGCGGCGCACTTGCACACTTCTTGTGTAGGTCATCTTGAGCGCCACGTTGTGCAACTCCTTTAGTCTTGGGTTACATCACGTCCACACCGGTTATATCATATCGATCATTCAATTACATGTGACTTATGCTGACAATGTCATAATACACGCATAGTTTTAGTTGTTGGGGAAAAGCATGCGGCGGTCATTGAGTTGATGCTGATACTGATTTAATATTAGTGTGATCGTGTCCTCTAAACGAGGTAATAATGCATAACACCATTTATGCAAGTCATTCTGCTGTTAACGTTTCCTTATTTCTTTGAATACCACTAGGTGCGTGGCTTAATTTCTTTAAAACAAGATGTGTGTTGATATTTCGGTTGCATATTTTACGCATACACGCCACCCAAATCTGAAGTAATTAAAATTAGACTGGGTAATAGTTATAATAGGCGAATCCCTATTATTACACACACAGTTATTATAATAATACTAGATCTGTTACTACATGCATAATCCTTATAATACACTGTATAGTCATGATTAAATATATATTTATGTAATGTTGACATTTCTAGATATTCTAGATCTGGTTTCTCTGTAAGCATTTGCAGTACACTTTGTAAAGGTAGCCGACAAACTCTACTTCGGGGTCCCCACTATGTTTGTTACTGTCGTTATTGCTTGTGTGAGACAGACTACTTTTAATGAGGCGAGTTTCATTGGCTCAAATCGGAAGATGCTGTATTCGGATTGGTAATCACGACCACATTATAAAAGCTCTTTGCGTTTGAAAGCGTGAGCTGTTGCAATACTTTGAGCACGCAACCCGCCTCAAAAATGGTGACATAATGATGCAGAGCATAATTTGAAGATACTGTAGGTTTTAATAGTCACGTTTCGACTTACGTGACATCAGCATGAAAAACTTTGTATATTTCCTGTCCGTCTTTTAAAAAAATAGAAACACTGTGCACACTGTTAGGCCTACTTCTCTCTGTTTGCTAAAAAATGATTTCCCCTGATGATAATATTTAGGAATTCACGTCCTGTGAGCTTTCTGTCAGCTGTTTATGATCAGAACTAGAGATGCCAGACCGCAAATGAATCACTCGGTAAAACCGGTAAAGTCACAAAAACATCTGAAATTGAAAAAGCGATTTATTCTGACAGTTCACTGACTGACACACGTTTGCAGCGGTTTCTCACACAGTAATGGGATACTTTATAAGACAGCAAACAAAAAGAGCGCTGGATGAGATGGAGATTTACATATAAATATAGCTAGGTAGATGATTTACCAGTTGTAGTCCGTTACTTATTACAGAGTACTTGATGAAAACTGTAGTTAGTAATGTAATCTAGGTTACTCATTTTAGGTGATCCATTCTGACTACTTTTTAGATTACTTTTGAAGCTTACAATTAAACATACCATATCGATATAAAAAACAAAGAGAAATATATTCCTTTTTTTTTTACATCAACGTCATAAAATGCATTAAACATTACGTTAGTGAGTTGATAAAAAGTTAAGAATTAAATCATAAAAATGGAAATAAAAATAATTGAAACACTTGAACACTAAAAATATAAACATTTTAACTGTTTTACTGCATGCCAATCAACATCAGAGAACTGTAAACATGCAACTGTGTTGTTGAATTATTTGAAAAATGAACAAAATGAAGTAAATTTTGGCTGACAAAAATGGATTTGGGAATCCATTATGCATTACATGAACAAACGTTAATAAACATGAACAGCAATGACATTAAACACCCAAAGTATTTTTGTCCAGACTTCCAGAATCAACAGTTACTGAAGGTCACGGTATATGATGACGACATAACGTTTCACAACTATCACCAGTGGTCTCTAATTCCTCAAATTCAGAAGCATGGTTTGCCCATTTATTTTCTCGACATTTGTGAATAAGCTAAATGGTATGACACACAGTAGGATTTTTAGAAAGGAACATTTCAAAGAGAAAAGAGAATAATTAATCATGTAATTAATCTTGTGTGAATAATACGTAATCATGTAATCCATAAAAATGTAACTGTAATGTGATTATGAACATTTTAAAATGTAATGTACTCTAATTACAAGTACTTAATTGTTGGAATCTGATTACGTAATCCAGATTGCATGTAATCAGTTACTACACAGCACTGCATACAATCCAGTGTAGGAAGCAAAACTTGCAAATGTCTTCAATCGTTTGTGAGCAATAAAGCAGCTCTCTATTTATGTCCATAACAGTATTTTTTTTTTAAGAGTATCAAAATATAGGCACACTTTTTTGATTGGGGTGTCTAATCTGTCTCTGTTTTTATCTCACCAGATCCCTTAAAATTCTCTGGAACTGACTTCACAAAGAGGACACACATGACTTATTATAGCACTTGGTCTACAATGAGATGTTAACTTAAAACCAGAGTCAACTAATGAGCTTATGCAGTCTTGATGACCACATTGTGTAATATGCAAGCCATTAAGGATGAGCCCTCATGCACTGGGCCCTACGGTGGAGAGGATGCATTGGTGCTGGCGGTGGCTTTGCAAGGGACAGACAGGGACATGATTAACCACGAGTTGTCCACCATGCCCTTTAAGACAACGTCCACCAACTGTCGCAGAAAACGCGAGTTCATACCGGATGAAAAGAAAGACCGCCTATATTGGGAAAGAAGGCGCAAGAACAACGAAGCAGCCAAACGTTCACGAGAAAAGCGCCGACTCAACGATATGGTTCTGGAGAACAAGCTCATGGCCCTCGGGGAAGAGAACGCATCGCTGAAAGCCGAGCTTCTGTCGCTTAAACTC